GTGTGTGTGTGTGTGTGTGTGTGTGTGTGTGTGTGTGTGTGTGTGTGCATGCACTGCCAGAAAGCAGTATCTGCAGCAGGAGCTGAAAGTGCAGGACGGCGACAAAAACATGGAAAGTTGTAGCTTTTCTAGCCTCAGTGAAAGCCTGATGAGGTCTTTCGTGCAGTCCTCCAGGCTGAGGAGAAGGACAATGTGGAGGAGAAGGATCACATAAAGAAAAACGACATGGAGTAGGAACAATAACATAATAACCCTTGTAGTCTTTCTGACCCTTGTGCAACTTGACGATACTCTCTCTCTCTCTCTCTCTCTCTCTCTCTCTCTCTCTCTCTCTCTCTCTCTCTCTCTCTCTCTCTCTCGCTCTCGCTCGCCCGCTCTCTGTGTCCAAACACAAATCAACAAAACTTGGCATAAGCTGTTGTCTGGATTGAGCCAACAATGAAGAGTTGAGGGCAACAGCGGGAGCTGAAGAAGCTGGAGCTTAGGTCGCCATGGGGAAGGTAGATGGGTAAAGCAGGTGCAGACGGATGTTGCAACAGGATGTCGAACGATAGAGAGTCATGGACAAAAGAGGGACGAGCAGCAGGAGACCGGATAAGATCACGGCTTACCTCTTCCGCAGTGAGCTGTTCACCGCTCCTCGCAACGATGGGAGCTGAAGAGTCTGGAGTTAGGTCGCCATGGGGAAAAGAGATGGGTAAAGCAAGCGGAGACGGATATTGCCACAGGACGTCGGAAGATGAAGAGTCGAGGGCAAAAGATGGAGGAGGGGGAGAGAGGATAAGATTGCGGCTTACCACTTTGCGCGGAGCTGTTCACTGCTCCTATGAAAAACAGAAGGTTCTACTCCTGGCGGCGCCCCACATCAATCTAACAGTTCTCCTGTTTCCCCAGAGATGGATATTGCAACAGGACGTCAAAAGATGGAGAGTCGAGGGCAAAAGAGGGAGGAGGAGGACGACGACGAGAAAAATCATGACTGCGGTTTACTTTTTTCGCATGGAGCTGTTCACCACTTCTCGCCATGACGGGAGCTGAAGAAGCCGGAGCTTAGGTTTCCATGGGGAAGAGAGATGGGTAAAGCAGGTGCAGACGGATATTGCAACAGGGTGTCAAAAAATGGAGAGTCAAGGGCAAAAGAGGGACGAGGAGGAGAAAGGAGTCGAACAAATGGTAAAAGTCTTACGCCAGGTCCTGTGATAAAACTCTTTCGCCAGGTCCTATGGTGTCACCACCTGGCATGTGTGGACATTATGTGGCAACTGTGGGTTTTGGTTTTGGCAGGTGGAAGTAGGACAGGCTGCAGTCGACTTGTTTCTTGGTGTGCGCTTATGGCTGCGATTCGTCACCGATCTCAAAGTTTTCGGTCGTCCACAAATCATTGCTGTCCACCTACTGAACAGACCGATGGCTGCAATTCAAACCTAATGGCGCCTACCACCCACTGTCTCTAATGTTGGAGACTTTGTTAATCTGAGATTCCTCCTCCATTCCAACCGAACCATTGACGGGTTTTGACTTCGCTTAAGAACTACTATGGCAAGCTGTTGTGTGTAAATGTTGCATACCGTAACGGTACAGACCAGAACAATAACCGACCTCTCTCACATAGTACAGGATAGCGCAGCAGACGGCTAAAATACCAATGATCAGACCAATAAATGTCGCACTGTCAATCCCAATGTCGAGTCTGAATCCAAATGTCATCAAGTCCCAAAGTCACCAATCTCTCTCTCTCTCTCTCTCTCTCTCTCTCTCTCTCTCTCTCCCGTAGTCTGCAGATACTGAGAAGTCAGGTGGTGAGAAGGTGAGGGAGAGATGGTGGATTGAGAGGAGGAAGAAGAACTCTCTCTCTCTCTTTCTTGTACCACTAATCTGTGAAGGTGGCGCCTTGTTGCAGGTACATCGAAGACGAAGCTGGAGCTATGGCGCCAGTCTCCCTGGCCTCCGCTCTTCTCTCTCTCTCCCAACGCTACTCTACCTCCTAGCAGCGCCCAGCGCTGAAGACTACTCTAGCGCTAGCTACTACTACTGCAGCGCTCCTGCAGAGTGCTGCGGCCAACTCCTGAAGACTGCCTCATGAACGCACGCGAAGTGCCCTGTGAACTGCCTGGGAAGTCCCTATGCCTACCTGCAGCCTGCAGGGCGGACCAGTACTATATATGGCCCGTCCGGGAGGCTGCTCTTGCCAATGCCGAAACGTGCCAGACCCTGGCGTTGAAGTTCAAACAAAGGTTGTCTTGAAACAGGCCCAAAAATGGCCTGCACTAAACCCTGGTCTGGCGCCTAAGTTTCAGGGTAGGTCGACTTTATGAGGGCCTGAAAATGGCCCTCTTTTTCAGGCTTTTAGGCTGAAACGACACAGGGCCTGGAGGACCCTTATTTTCCGTCTGGTCGGGCCCTGCAGCCCGCCCATGTGGATGCGCAGTATGCCACAGTAAACCACCATTGCTCCCGACGAAATCCGAAGCCTGCAATACGAACTACCAATCCTCCCGCCTGTGTTGGTGTACACCCTGGTTGCAGAAAGGGTTGGCCAATTGGTCGGCATGCAAAAAGGCACACACTTTGAACATTTTCTGTTCCCAGAAGTTCTGTTGAAAAAATGCCAAAAAAATAAAAGGGACATCAGTACTGGTAGTCCAGAGGAAAGAACAGAGTAAAAAAAAAGTCTGAATGGTTAAAAACCTCCTGGACGCTGGTGCCAAAAAATATGCACATTTTCTGGCCTGGACTTTCGTCGGTGCTCCAGGGACAGAAAAACCAATTGCTTTGTCAAAATGATTTCCAATTAATTAAACAACAACTTCATGTTAACAGACCACCTGCACTGCCAACAGTAATGACCTTGAGTAATAGTGTGAGAACCCTGATCATTTTATCTTGAACACCACCATGTGTCAAATACTATCAGATCGCACACGATTCTGCAGATGCAAGCTTTCCCAGTCCTGGTTACAGGGTTCTGAATTATCCCAGTCCAAGGCCCCGTAGAATAGAGCCTTAGGGCCTGTAGGATCAGGAGCCGCAGACAGTCCTGAATTATCCCAGTCCAAGGCCCCGTGGATTAGAGCCTTAGGGCCTTTAGGATCAGGGGCCGCAGACCGGTAGTCTACAGTACCGAACAGTACCTGTAGGAGCACGTCAAGGCTGAAGGAGGCCGGTGCGGATTGAAGCAGGCACGCAAATCCCACTGCAACTATATCTTTTGGGCTACAGTGCCAGACGACAGGTGTTCATTTCGCAACTTTATGGAAGCGCTGCTGCAGCTTGTGCAGACAAGCGACCTGGAGGAAGAAGAACGCTGAAAGGAGGAAAACAACCAGTGCCCTGTCTGCGACAGACCACCATAGCCAGGACAGGGGACAAGGTGTTTGGCAGCCATAGCCGACCGTTTGCTGTGAAACACACCTCAGAGGCATTCAGGGTAGATCTTGAGAGACGAGGAACAGTAGTGGGGAGCATCGAGGGATGAACAGTGCGAGTAGTGAGAGAGAGAGAGAGAGAGAGAGAGAGTAAGAAAGAAAGAGAGAGAGAGAGAGAGAAGCAGTTTTGAAGGGGGAAGAGTTGGGTGCTTACCCGACTCGTGTTGCAGCGGTTCTGACCGCTTAGCCCCGAACGTTTTCCAATTGTATATTATTGTAATTTGAGTGTAACTCGAATTGGCACTGTTCATGGCAATCACTCAAGCTTGTGTGATCTTTATCTAAATGCTCTCAAGTTGCATGTGGTATTTTGAGATGAATCTTGCGCGGCTCGTCGGAAGATCAAAGACACAAAAAAAACATCCTTCCTCCTCCACAAGGATCGTCTAGAGGATTCATAGAAACACCACGAACAGCAAGTTGTCTTCCTAACCATGCGGTAACAGCTAACATACCTTCTTGATCATGCCGAAAAAAATAAACTGCCCGGACTGCTCAAGCCAGCCATCCCCATCCTTGGCTGGATGGTATTCTCGACAATCCTGCAAAAACGAGCACATGCATTTGTCAGCACGCCAGCATTGGTGCACACCTCTCCACTTCTCAATCATCACCTTCCCTAAGAGAACTGCCATGTGCAGAAATATTGCAGTGACCTACTGTTTGTTGTTGAAAGGAGACACAAGCAAGGCAGCATCACGCTTCTTACAGCCATGGTGGTGAACCACTCGCCGTGGCCAGTCGATTAACATCTGCCAAATTTTATCCTAACATCATTTTAGCAGAGATGCAGGTCTGTCTCTCCCCTTTTCTCTTTCCACTCATGTTTGTCTGTCTGTGAGAATCTGAGGGGAATCAATCAAGCTCCTCTTATTCTTTCCCACATGGGTTGCAGATGCGAGAATTGAGCCCTCGCATCACAGGGCCCTTACAGACATGCAAGTGTTCTGGGCTGTGGCCCCCAGCAAGCATTGTGCCTGCTCTAAGTGAAGGCAGGCCTGAATATCCATGTGAGGCCTTCTATCGAAAATTTTCCCATATGTGGGGTATCACACAGTTTCAGCACGCCAGTTGGTTACAAAGCAACCTGAGCCTTTCCTGGCTCATCCAGAAGCAACAGCTGCACTGAACAGTTGAGCTCAGGGCCCCGGTTGGCTGTGCCCTGAGCACACAGTGTGAGACCGACACATCACTCATTGACCGCGAACGAACGAGAAAGAAGCTTTGTCATCACACAACACCCACGAGGCAATGAGAATGCGGCAAACACATGAAGCGTGGATGGCTGTCTGGACGTGCCCAACCAAAAAGGGCTCAGGCCCGTAACAGCACAGGTGGGCGTGGGCGCAGACACTGGGGCCCGACTGGAAGCTACTGAAAACTTCCCCGACTAGACCCACGCAGCCAGACACAGGGCCGCACTTTCCAGAAAGGAAAGTGCCTTGTGCAGGCAGCCACATTCTGGCCTGAGCGGGCAATGCGGTCACGCTGCTGCTCGGCCATGCGAAGCTGCGCTATGCGACCAGGCCATGGCGCAAGCAGGCGTAAGAGATGAGAGGGCACTGCGGTGGCATTGGGCACACGGCAGCCATCGCAGGGCCGAGCATGCGGGTGCAGGTGACGGCGATGGTGATCTTCGGTTAGGAGGCGCATGCAAAGGGGAGAAGGTCGGATGAGGGGAGGAGAGAGAACGTGCCTAGCGTATGCTCGCAGTCGGCATTGGTGATGATGTCACGCACATTGGTATTCAACTTCAATGTGATCCAGTCACATGAACGTAGATAGGATAGATAGCCTGAGTAGTGTAGGCTGGGCGCTGGGCGCTAGACAGTAGGAGCAACATTGGATACAGTGTTGGTGTGACCAGAGAGTGTCGGCATTGGCACTCGAGTTCATTGTATTGCTCTTATTTGGATGGTATCTTGGTGCATTGTGCTCTCTGCCTGGTACATGACTATCTGGACTGCTTCATGATTTTGCAACTTGGATTTCTGTCCATCGCTCTCGCTCATATTCCTACCACAGCCACCTCGTTGCATTTTTTTTACACTCCATTCGATCCGGTCTCCTATCCAGAACAAACTCTGGTCCGACCACTGTTTTTCTTTTTCCTACAAGTGAGGTCCCACTCGCTGGGACTCTCCGCCCTAGCCTTAGTTACACCATGTTCGCAACATTTGAGATAGTCTCTCAGGACTTCGCATTTGTCAGCCACCTACACAAACGACCATATTTATCATTAATGCTATAATAGTCTACATTTCTGACAAAAGGAACCACAGCGCTAGCCATCACTTTCTCCAAGCACCTTGTGCATAAGAGGAAAAGCGCACTACCAGTATGGATAGGGAGCCAGGCCCAGGAGGTCCTGTTTTATTTACAGAATTTGTAACGGGAGTGAGGCTGAGGGTGAGCCGAGGGAGAGGAGAGAGAGAGGGAGAGAGTGAGAGCACACACACACACTCACTCACTCGACACGACGGACTCGGACTGAGGGTTGGACGCAGACACAGTGGCAAGGCACAAAGTCGAAGTCTTGGATTCCCAATGCCGAAACGGCAAGTCACACTGAGTACAAGTACAGCAGCAGAGAACTGGTACGAGACTGGTCCC